GTGGGGGGGGGGGGGGGGGGGGGACTGGGATGTGCTACAGCCCGTTCCCCAGGCCCAATTCATAATTAAAAAAAAAAAATTGTGTGATTTTTTTATTTTATTTATTATCATTATAATTATTTGTTTTTATATTTTTGCATATTAGCCCATCTTAAAATTTTTCTTGGATCCGTCCTCGTGCATATGTGCTACAAGATTTTCGATTACTGTTTCATTGAGATTCAATCCAAATCACGATCGTATTTTCTTGTTCCTAAATGAGTCTCTTTCATCCATCTAGGTTTATGCTCTACTTTGGCAAAAGATCTATCCGATTTTGATTTGCACATATAGGAGAAATCCTTCCAGTAGCATTTCTTTTTGTTATGACTGTCTTTCTTTTTCTTTTTTTTTGTTTTTTTTTTTTTTTCAATTCATTTCATACCTTTCACCAAATATTTAGTTTGAGTATCCCTCGCTTGACAAACAGGATCTCTTTACAAATACCAAACACAAATCATTTATGATACTAGTAGCAATCATAGATACATGACCAATTGGGTAATTGGAGAAATCCCCAGGAAATGATATCAGGATAAAGATAAAAATGACAACTGCTAGTTCGGTGTAATGCGTTTATTTGTTTCAGGAACTGAAATGAAATAAAAAGCTCCCCCCCATAACAGAATTTTTGGCTCTAGTCTTTCAATGTGTTGCATCACTTATTTTCTGCATTTGGACTGAGTATATATTGCGGGGGAGTGGTTCTGTTAATGGCTTTAATTTGTTGTTTCGTTATAATGAGACCATTAGATTTTGAATAATTACATTGTGCTAGATGATTTTAGCCAATGGCTCAGCATTTAACATGATGCAAGTTGTAAACTTGGGAATACTGTGCTGCTGCAGGGATCTGTCTCAGCAACAGGGTCAGAAGGCACCATGGTAGATTTGAGCTAAATGGATGAGGACGTGGTTTGGGCTGAGGGTGGGGGAGGTGGAGAAGAATGGGGTGGTGGGGAGTCGAGGTGGTACTAAGGAAAGATTTCATTGTTATAGTATTAAAAACTAATGCATAATTCATTCAACTACATCATTTGGGTCGACTTCTTCAAGTTATTGGGAACTAATAATCCATTGAAAGTTCGTGAATCCAGAAACCCTGTTAACATTTGGTTTGCCTCAAGTTTTAAGTATTAGAGCATTGTTATTTATTTGAGTACTGAAAGTTTTAAAAGTTGCATCCTAGTCTTTTTATCCGATACTTCTCCAAGCTAACCCCAATCAATATCTTTTCCAGGCATTTAGTATAGAATAATGCTATATGTAGATCAACCATGATAATTTGGTTGACATTCCTTCGTGCGGAGGAAACTTGTTCATTGATGTGATGGATGAGTTCAAGTTCAAGATGTACATGTTGCCATGTGAAAGAGCATAAAGAAAGGTGTAAGAGAGAGAGAGAGTGTGTGTGTAAAGTATAAGGATGTGTTAAACCCGACTTTTCTTGTACAATCAATTTATTTACTTCATTGCACTGGCTTTAATTTACAATAAAATGAAACGAAAGTATATGGAAAATTATGTTGTTTTTAACTGCTTAAACGTTTATTTTTTGTTGACGAGTTAAATATTAACATTTTGCTAATTATGCGACACGTTGAATTTGTGCACCAGGAGAAGAAGGTGGACGGGTTAACGAGTACCCAAGGCAGGCGGAATAAAGTTTTTAAAGAACTTTTCATGATTTCTAAAGAAAAGTGTTGGAATACTTGGAGTTTTAAGTACAGAACTTTTTTATTCAGGGGTTACAATAAAGGTATTGTCTCTCTGATATTAGGATTTTTTGGGGGAACCCATTTTGTTGGCCGAGAAAGGCATGACTTTCTTTGAACACTTCTTCATTGTAGTTATAACTACAGTGGCAAGTGAATAATTCTCATGTTGAAGGTGAACAAATCACCATTGCTTCCATGTTTTTTTATTTTCGTTTTTGCTTATGAATATGAAACTAGATGATAAACATACAAGAATTCAGGTTAGCATGGAAATCATCGAAGAAACTTCTGAAAACAAAAGATTACACAGAGAGATCACATGGAAACATCTTCATGTAGTTCAAAATTCAGCTCGGTAGCTATTCTTCATCTACATTGGATTCAAGCTGGCTGTAATCTCCTTTGGCCTTGAAAAGTTGGATATGGTGGTGCTTGCAGTAGAGTCTACCCTCACGTGCAATGTAGTTCGAAGGACTTATTGTACAACCTCCATAGCGGCACTTGAAGCAGCTCCTGTGGTATGAAACCCCATTGACAGTAACCTAGGACAGAACAAACAAATCATTGTGAATAATGCTATTTTGAGTGGACTAAATTCCAAGATTAGTTTTTTACAAGTGTCTGGGAAGGACTAAGATGGATAGAAAATGAAAAAAAAGGCCTCCTTTTCGTGAATTTTCAGAACCCTGCTAGAGAATCGTAATATCCCAATGTACCATTTCATTTTCCTCCCTATCCCACGT